GGGGCGGGGATGGGTGCGGGGCGGGGCGGGTATTAACATCCCCGCCCCCGCCGTCGTCCCCGATTTTGCCAAGAGGGGAAGACCCGAACCCAAACCCAGTCAACACGGGTTTTTCCCGTCCAAATCGGGGCGAGGTCAGACGGATACTCACGGGACTGAATTAGAATGCCATGCCTATCATTACTTATGGTGGCATTTGAAAACATGTCACCTTGTGATGACTTCTTCATTATTTTTGTCACCTAGGAAAAATATCTTAGGGAGTTTTGACACCTTTGTCAGGTCAAAACCCTAAAATTTAATATACTTTTAATTATTTAACTAAAATTTTCAATCTTACTTAGTATTGAAATAAAAATCTTCATTTTTTTTATTTGTAATTTTTGACGTATGTAAAAGTCTTGAGTTTTAGTTCAAATTATCAACAAACCAAGATAAGTCAAAATGAAGTGGATTAGTCTATGTTACATTTAATATTTTTTAAAAATTAATATAAAAGAGTTTATAAATTGATTTATGAATAAACTAATTTTAATTTATAAAAAATATTTTTTTTTTATTTTCTTATTTTATAAGTGTGTTAGAAAAAGTTTATCTTAACATTAATTATTCGACAGAGAATGCGAGAAAATTCAATTGTGTGTTTGATTCCCCGAATATTGTTAGCAAGGGGACCGACTTCTGTCGTATTGCAATTTACAGTTTAGGAGGTTTGTAACGTGGTGCTTCCTGGATTTTGGGCTTTTTGGGCCTGATTTTCTTGAGCTATTGTTCTGTTCACCACAAACAAAATATAAAATTATTTACTAATCTTTTGAGGAATACTTGTATGATTTGTAGCTGTACTCTTTTTTATTTTATTTTATGATAAATTTGTAGCTGCACTCTAATCTAAGCAAAATCCCAATGTCACATAGCACTCATCAATATCCTCATCATAGTCAGAGCAAGAAAAATAATTACTGTAGATAAGCTCTATGTCAGATTTTAAAAACATCTACCACGATTAGGCTTGTGGCGCAGCATGAAAGTGAGCACGTTCAAACATTTTTAATAAAAAAATTAAAAATAAAAATAAATGATTATTTCATAAAATAGTTAATTTATAAAAATGTTATTATTAAGGAATTTTTTTTCAAAAACAATAATTTCTTAAAAATACTTTCGTTCAATATTAATATTCTTTTACACACAAAGAGACAGGCATACAACCATGGACACGTACACACAGTGAGAAACACAGACGCGCGCACAAAAAACAGAATTTAGAAACCAAATTAATTAACAAAATATTAAAGTGGTGAGAGTAAAAGTAAAATTGATGTGGATATAATAGAGAGAGAAGAAAAAAGAGGCGGTGATATGAATGGGAATTTGTCTTGTTTGTCATTATGAGAGGGTGAAATTGTTTGGCCTACAAAGATTGATATGCATAAGATAAAAGATTAGTGTGTGTGCACATGTAGGAAATCTTTGACCAAGCAAAGTGAAGTAGGAAGACAGGGAAAACATTAAAGAAAAGGTGGATGGAATCTTTCTACAATTTCTAGAGACATGAAAGAAGGATATAGGATATAGCTTGAGTTTATTTACATTTAAGAAGAAAGGGAAATGGTTGATAGACGTAGATAGAAGATATCATAGAAGTGATTTAGAATGAATCAGAGAGGTTGGTGCATGGTGAGAAGCAAGGGAGTGGTGACGGTGTGTTTGGCATCAGACCAAACTATGGAACCAGTCCTGACAGTAGAACTCCCGGGGGAAAGGTTAACCGGCATGGTTTGCAGGCTAACGAGGAAGTTCAATTTCTGGCCCAACCTCCTGAAGGACAGCGTGTCTGGCTCCACGGTGAGCTCGGTGTGGGGAGGAGGTACAATGGTGACTTTATAGACGGAGTGGGGGTCTCCAACGTTAGTGACGGTTCTAATGAAGTGAGTGGACATGAGGTGCTTTCCATACTGCTGAAAGACGGCGGATAGAGAGGGGTAATTGAGATTCCCAGCGTGCCCAGCCCTCTTAGCGCCACTGCACTCAGCAACCTTTCTGGTGATGACTCGGATATTGTGGGTGCTGTAATTGGAATTGCAGAGGAAATCCACATAATCGTAGGTGGAGATGTCATAAATGAGGCCAGGGTGGATGGCCTTCTGGGGGTCAACATGCCCAGCCCCATAGTCAAACAATGAGGAAACATTCCCAGTAGACTCATCCACCATAGGCCCTCCTTCCTTGTCCACACTGTAAGCAGTAGTCACAAGCGCAGATCTGATTGCAGCAGGGCTCCAATCCGGGTGGGCCGCTTTCAGCAATGCACCCAGCCCAGACACGTGAGGGCATGCCATGGAAGTGCCCGACAGTATGTTGAAGTCGCTCCTACGCGAGTCGGAAGCAAGCCCAGAAGGTGCAACTGTGTTAGGCCATGCGCCAAGAATGTTCAACCCAGGGGCTATAACATCCGGTTTAAGAATCTCGGCTGACTCGGGATTAGGCCCTCTGCCGGAAAAGGATGCCACCTTGGGCGCTGGCATCATCCCAACGCGAGTGCCCTTGAATATTATGGTTGCCGTGGGTGGGGAGGCCAGAGAGATGTATCGACGAATCTCGTCACCGGCGGCCGAGCCCACCGAGGTGGCGGGGAGGACGTGGCAGTCGGCAACCAAACCCTCGCCGTCGAAGGGTCCGTTGGTCAAAATCATGCCAACTCCTCCGCCCTTCTTCACCACTTGCCCTTTCTCGGCTCTTGAATTAACGCCTCTCTCGCACACCACAATCTTCCCTTTCACGGACTTGGGATCCAACGAATCTTCCAAGCAGAGAGAGGAAGAGTAACCGTCAGAACCCGCATAGAGCAGCGGGTAGAGCCGTCCCGGAGTCAGACCGGGTCCACCGTACACACTCACGCCGCCAATCACCCTGCCGTTCCCCAGCATAACATCCGCCGGGAAATCTCTGTCTATGCTTCCCGCACCCACCGTCGTCATCCAGGGTGCCACATTCGTCACCGTCAGGCCGCCGGGGCCTCCGTTCCCCGCGGAGGCCGAGACGAAGACGCCAGCCTCGCTGGCTCCGAAGGCCCCCACGGCGATCACGTCCAGGTGGTAGGGCACCACCACGCCCCCCACGCTGAGGGAGATCACATCCACACCGTCGGCCACGGCGGCGTCGAATGCGGCCAGGATGTCGGAGTCGTAGCAGCCGGCGTTCCAGCAGACCTTGTAGACGGCGAGGCGAGCCTTGGGAGCCATCCCGGCGGCCATTCCTTTGGCGTAGCCCATGGTGGAGGCCGGGAAGACGTACCTTCCGGCGGCGATGGAGGCGGTGTGGGTGCCGTGGCCGTCGGAGTCTCTGGGGGAGCGATACTCGAGGGTGCTGTTCATTTTGCCGTTGGTGGCTTCGTAGCCGGCGCAGAAGTAGCGGGCTCCGATGAGCTTGCGGTTGCATGAAGTGGGAGGGAAGTGTTCTCCGGCGACGCACTGGCCCTTCCAGTTGGGGGGAGGGAGGCCGAGATCGCGGTCGTTGAAGCTCTGGCTCTCGGGGGAGATGCCGGTGTCGATGACTCCGATGACGAGATCGGAGCCGAAGTCGGTCTCCTTGAGTAAGCCGGCGGTGTCGGCGGTGTTGAGGCCGAGGAAGTGAGGGGAGCGCGTGGTGTGGAGGTGGCGCAGGTGCTCGGGTATGAGGGTTATGACGTGGGAGAGTGATTGCAGCTTTTGTGCCTCGGCATGGGAGAGGGTTGCTGAGAATCCGTGAAAGACTGTTTGGTAGGTGTGGATTATGGAGGCCTTGTCCGGCAGGGAAGACTCGTACCAGTGCCTGTGCGTTGGGAAGATGGATGGCTTCGCTTCTTGCTGGACTTGCACTATGAATGTTTGCTTTTCTCTTGCTGTGACTGTGACTGTGACTGTGACCACCAAGGAGAAGGAGAAGGAGAGGGAGAGCAGAATGATGATGCAAGCGTACGAGGGAGAAGAAGCCATTGAGTGAGTGAAGTGAAACCAGTGATGCTGCTAGTCCCTTTCAAAACTGCATCTCCACTTCACCTTTCTTTGTCCACTTCACAATTAATTACATATATTCCCATCACACCTTTTTTTTTTTTTTTAAAAAAATACTAAAAAGTACTGTACACCGTGTGGGAGCACTCGTGTGTGGGTGCACAGAAACATAGATTCACTGTTACAGCGCTAATTATGGGACAGAATGGGAGATTAGCCTCTTACACTTTAGACTTTAGACTTTAGCCAGAGGCAGAAAGCAAAATTATTAACGACAACAACAATGCATCGCAACTTGTAACGATGTCAACTAAATTGACACAAGAGATGTGTAAATACAATTGTGTTAATGGATGTCGTAAACTCTATCTGAATTTAGTTCAATGTAAGTTTTTATTAACACTATTCACTCTGTTTTTTTATATTCGTTTTGTCATAATTTATTATTATTTTTATTATTATTTTATTAAAATTAATGACTTATTAATTTTTTTCTCTATTTTTATCTTTGATAATTAATACATGTTTACTAAATAATGTGTGTATTTAATTTTAATGTCTACATATTTTTTCTAATTACTCATATAAAATTAATGTACATTTATAAGAGCAATATGTTCCCAAAAAAATACTATATAAAAACAAAAAGAAGGAACAACTATTTACAAGACTATTTAACTATAACCATTAATTCATAGATATGTATAATTAAATACGGTAAGTTACAGTTCAGTGTAATCAATACATTAATAATTAATGGAATAGATTGTAGTTCAACAGTCTAAAAAAAATATAAAAAAAATATATAAAAAATAAAAAATAAAATAAGAAAATAAATAATAAATATTTTAAAAATTAAAATATTAATAATTTCTTTAAATCCCGTGCAAAACCTTAAACAACTATTAAAAAAAACGGAAGAAATATAAAATCGACATATATCAGTCATTTATTATTCAATCACGCAAATACCTTAATCCTGACAAGGTGAATTAAAAATAAAGACATAACCCACGTCAAATTTGCAGTACCATTACATTAGATAAAACAAAATATATTAAAATTTGCATTTTAATTTACTTTTAGCACTATGATAAATATTATTTTTAATAACATAAAAAATATTACTATAAATACAAGATAAAATAACTTAATATATATACATACACAATTTTAAATAATATATAAAAAAATATAAAAAAAATTAGAACTAGAAAATAAGATCTTATTAAAGCTCATCCTATGCATAATAATTGTGAATGATGTTAATGAGAAAGACCAATTTTGATCAAAATAAAAAAATATAAATCAATTTACAAAATCATATATGCAATTTATCATCATTAAAAATGCTTATTATTATTATTATTATTATTATTATTCAATTTCTATCTACTATGTGTTTATTATTTTGTGCTTATTATCATAAATTTAAATTCTATTGTCATGAAAGATAGACACCTGTTGTTGCTATTGTTGCATTCTATGGTATTGTTTATAGTTATCGTTTTGGATTAAAAATAAAATGCTAGCAAATTCAAATTTAACAACCAAAATGATATTGATAAGACTGCAATTATATATATACAAAATTACTTGTAGACTATAACTTTAAGTGTATCAACAAAAACAACAAATTGATCTTGAAAATAGTTTTGATAAATAACAACATGAGAAACTCACTCTCTCTCTACCCTTATTTTTAATTTTTGCTTCTTTTACTTTGCAACTTCATCACTTAATGTTACTGTAACTTATTTAAGCAAAGTTTCGTCTTAAAGACACTTTTAGTATTTTTCGCTTCTTTTATTACACAAAAATATTAATAAAGATACTTTTCAATTTATGATAAAATGAGAGAATATATCAATAAACATACTTTTACCTCATGTTTATAATGTTCCAAATATATTTAATTGAGTGATAAAATAATATTAAAATATTAGTAAAATAGTTAGAAAAATTTAATAAAATTTTATTGTTTTCAAAAATATTAATAATACTACAATAATGATATAAAATAAAAAGAAGGTAAAAATACAATTATATAATGACATATAAGAAAAATATAAGTAAACATGACTTTAAGTGACTAATATTATGAGTGAATTTGTGTGAAAATTTCTACAAAAGATGTTTTGACAAGACTAACCCTGCACTAATATCTAAATAGTTAGTTAGTAAATAGTAAAAATGTAATAATGTTATAACAATTATAAATGTTAATGAAGAATTCATTAAAAAAAAATATTGTGCATTTTAATGAATTTATTTTACAATGAATTGAAACCTGACCCTTGAGTGGTTTACAATGAATTAAAGATAATTGTAAAGTATTTTGGGTGAAAACTAATTTTGATGAGTTTGAGATTTAATATAAAAGAGAAATTAATGGAGGCAGGTGAATTAATAAAAGAGCACGCGTGATCCTGTAATAAACAAGGTTCCGATTCCGAACAGGGCAACTGCCCCTGCACACTGCACTGGGTCCACCAATTATACGAACTACCGCAAATTATGGATCACGAGTTTTGGACATGGAATCTCCAAGACCCACTTCAAGATATTATAACTGCTTAAGTTCCAAGTTATTGTATACTGGTGGAGTTGGATTGCCTTGTAACAAACAACTGACTAATTGAATTTAAATTACATTAAGCAATATAGTTTTACATTACACCAATACCCCGTGGATTAAAGAGGTTCATAATTGTTCCAGTATGAAATGACTATTTCTAGAGAATCTTTGTCAACATTTATAAGTATAATTTGTTTGTCTTGAAAATAAAATATGTATAAAAAAAAGGAAACAAGATCCTCTGTTAACATGATAAAAGGAAGAATAATGTTATTCTTATTAACACTTGCAATACATTTTATTCTCAAAAGACAAACACTAAAACAGATAAGAAGAAAAGAGTGAAGAAAGAGAGAGAAAAAAATGAACTTTAAAAAAATATCTTATTTAATTCACATAGGATGTATTTATTATACAAGTAAACATAAAATAAATAGTAATGGAAATTAATAACTATATGTATTTATTTATAATATCATCTCAAGATTATATTTTTATTAAAAGGAAATAATCACATTATATCTTTATTTGGAAAAATCAAATTAAGTTTAATTAATGAAGGACATTCACATAATGCATTTCATAATATTACCCCTTTGGATTTCTACTACTTAGGAATGTAACTCATTAAAACCTTGACCATAAAAATCTTTTGGAGCAAAAATCTAATGAGAAAATAAAAATAGATCTTTGATATGTTATAAAATATTATTTCATTAAACCTCATCAAGAAATACCTAATAGAGAACAACCATGGTTAAGGGGGAGAAAAAAGTATAATGAAAAGCATCAATACTTCAATTGTCTTGAAATATGTTATTTCAGGATGAAGAAGTTCTTTGTTCTTTTTATCGGAGTCTAAAGAAAATCATTATTCATATTCAATAATTTTAGATAAAATTTTATATTCTATAAGAAAATTGACTTATAATAATAGATTAAAATTTTCACAAGTTAAAAATTTATGAGAAAAATCTATTTTATATTGATCTAGAGACAATTTATCTGCTAATTATGTGAATTATATAACAACTTTTAAAATTTTACTTACAACAAATAATTATTAATACAAATATTAGAGTTTTACCTATGCTAAATATCTAGAGGTTAGAACAAAAATAATCCTAGGCATAGATCGTTTTGCCTGTAACTGTTCTTCCTACATTCTTTATTTCAAATTATTTTCTTTAAGCAGTTCACGACATTTAAAAGCTCTTCAAGAGTCTTGATAGTATTCAAGTCGATAACATAACCAGCCATCATAGTAAAATCACTTTTGAATCTTATTATAATATAAAATGTGGGGAAATAAATACAAAGTTATACTATTACATGTAAATGAATTACTTCAACTCAAACAAATTTATTCAATTTAATTTAGTAGTCTAATTGAGATAACTTGGAAGTCAACAAGCTCTAAACTAATTTATGCCCCATAATTATGAAAATCATAGAACGTACAACGATAGCAATCGGAAAAAGGTTCAGCGTCTGCTGTCCATGATAAATAATAAGCTTGATTATAAATGACCCAAAAAATTAAAAGTATAAAAATAACGATAAAAATAAATAAGTAAAAATTATCATCCTTCGAAAACCAGAACTAGAACACAGTTGTAACACTTTTTTAGTAAAAAGAACTTTCACTTTTAATTTTTTAACCATGTTACAAACGGAAACTTGACCAAAACGGAATCTAGTTCTATTCTCATTTCCTCACACTTAGCGGACTTTCCTTATGCTTAGAAATTCAATCAAAGAATTAACAAATTACTTGTTGCACAAAGAAACGCAATGCTTGATACGAAAACTACGTAATTGTTAGACATGATGTTGAATTGAAGGCAACATTTTAAAAGAACAGGTCAAAATTTATACATGGATACAACTATAGGTATAGCTGGATGAGCTCATCACTAACAACAGATGGAGTCAGAACACCTAAATCTGTGAAAAGCAGAGTCAGATATTGAGGAGGGGTGTAGTCCCGCGCGGATCTTTCAACCTCAACCTTGGATGGAATAGGTACGCCAAAATCAATAGGGCGTATAGCAGGGGCTAAATCCTTTTGGTCAAGAGGGTAAAGACGAGCAAACTGCAGAGCAACACAAACAAGCCATGTAACTATACAACATATTCCTAATTAATATAACTACCATTGTCAAAAGGATGAGTGCATATTAACATAACGTCCAGTGTAGCAAATATATATACCTTGTAACTTTCAGCAGCGACATAAACTGGTTTATTCATACTATGTGCAACCAATGCAATTTGGTAGGTCCCCATCATGTTGATTATGCCCCCACTTTCGACAACTCCATCTGCACCCACAAAAACCATGTCCACCTCATCCATAGTATATGCGACAGCAGAATCTATTAGAAGTTTCACAGGAACGTCAAGCTTGGCCAGCTCATTGGCCAACCGCAATCCTGTTCGGTCAGGTCTCCCCTCTGCAAATTTATAAAAGTCCAGTCACAATGAAGATGCCAAATATACAGATTCCACGAGTTTAAATGATCACTGATGAACAAATATTATACTGTCAAAATTTTGAAACCAAATTTCACAGGCAATATCAACAACCAAGCTTTATCCCAATACGTGCAGATGTTTCTAAGTATCAATCAAGAATATGGGATTAACAGAAACCAAATTATCAGCAGAATCACGCAGAGCAAGGTTGACTGCTTTTCTCTGTTTTAAATATATTGATGAAAGAAAATCAAGAAAACATGAAATTAAAAGATTTTGGAACTAAATATGAATGAGTATCGTGTTAAAATTGGTGAAATAATGTAGAAAGAAGAGGGGGGAAACCTGTGCAAAAGACCCGAAATAGTTTGTTATTGTGCGCTGCAAGTTTGAGGACTTGCAAGACAACTCTGGAAAATCCATGAACCAAAATTGTACATCCATCAAATATAAAATCCTGGCTCAACATTGCAATAACATTGCGGGCCTGCAAAAGACAAGTGTGAGGAAAGAAAGGAGAAGTGCGATGGGAAGAGTGTTGAGAGTGACCTTGTAGGAGATTTCCCCAAACTTGTCAGCGCGCTCAATCAAGCGAGATTTAGCGGAATTGAAGTCTTCGTATTCCAAAGCAGAAGTCCGAGTGACGTATCGCAGGAAGAGATCACATCCCGCAGTGAGAGAGATAGAGGTCGCATCCCAAGACTTGAGAGAATCGGATGCCTTCTTCAACTCCATTTCCAGCTGCATCATCGTCGTAGCCTCGCTCCACCTTATCACCGCGGCCAAGGCGCGAATCGCCGCCACCGCCTCCGCCAAATGGGGCTGTTTCCGCCAATTGTTAAACTCGTCGATGACACTGAAGGGCTTCTCAGGATCAGGCCTGGGTTGGGGTTCAGGGTCAGGCTCCGGCCCAATCGCGGCCTGGGCCTGGGCCAGCCAGTCGCTGGTGACGACGCCGTGATGCGCCGCTCTGGTCTCATAGTAGGCAGAGATCTTAGGGTTAGGGTTAGGGTTTGGGGAAGATTCCCCCTTCAAAGCGGCTTCGTTCTGCTGTCTGTCCATGATGAATGATGCCGATCTCCACCACATCCTTCTCACTACGTCTACAACACACACAAAAATACTAATTCGATTCAATTCGCCCAATGTTCTCTTGTGGGTAAAGAAACGCTATCAGCCTATCTTTATTCACTAGGGTTTGCTCTAGCCATTCACAATTTCAATTTCCTTTACAACCACCATCCCTTCTTTCTTTCTATCTGCTTTTAAACCGGCACCGTTTCACTAATTCCCTCACCGAATCATTTTTTTTTAAATAGCTAAAAACCTATTTTAGTCCCTTATAATAATTATTTGTTTTAATTTAGTCTCACTTTTATTTTTTGTCTCAATTTGATCCCTCATAAGTTAATTAGTTTCAATTTGAGACTTCCGTCCAAATTATTTAAACGGAGTTAATTATTGGTCACGTAGATGCATACGTGGATTCCACGTGGACGCCAAACTCTGCGAAAACACCTGGAACCAGAACGACCCGTTCTGAAACCAGAACGCGCCGTTCTGGATACACTCTTGGTGTGTTAATTTTGCATCTGAAACGGACCATTCTAAATGCAAAATTAACACACCACCAGTACATCAGAACGGCCCGTTCTGAAACCAGAACAGGCCGTTCTGGTTTTAGAACGGACCGTTCTGGATTCAGAACGGCCCGTTCCAAGACTAAGAATAAAATATTCTTTATTAATTTTATTAAAAAATATAACAATTTTGAAAAATATTTTTTTATGGTAAAAATTTTAAAATTATTTATTTTTATAAAATACAATTGTCTTATAAATAGAGTAATAACTTTTTCTTTTTCTCTTTCTAACTGAAGAAATACTTAAGTGTCACTTTATAATTTTTTGCAACTTATTTAAAATTAGAGGAATAAAATGATAAAAATTAATAGGATAAACATAATAAAATTATTAATTTATTTTCTTTTAGTGTCCTCTAAATTTTTACATTCATTTAAAACAAAAATATTTTATATGTTAATTTGAATTAATTTAACGAAGTATCATATGATTTTTAATTTTTTAAATTTTTTTATAAATTTGATCTATACATGAAAAACTTTTTAATTTGACAATTAAATTCTTAAAATTTTGATATAGAACATTAATTATTAAATAGAATAAATCTATCAAGACTTACTCTTGAAGTAAGTAAATATTTTCTTCATTAAAAATGAAGATAATTTTACCACAAAATAAAAAACAATTAAACAATAAAATAAAATTAATTATTAATATATTTATTATATTAGATATAATAACATAATAAAAATATAATTAATAATATTTATTTTATAAAATTATTAATATTTTATATATAAAAAAAAGAATGAAAAAAATTTTAGTGGGGGCAAGTGCCCCCACTATGATTAACTTAGATCTATCACTACATATGGTTGTGGTGAAATGTTAGTCTTGTGTATCCTCTTCCTTTACTTCAGGTTCTACTTCTTCAAGAACAGGTTATTGTTGTTGGGGTACATCGTTAATGACTTCAAGGAAAAATACTATGTCATTTCATCCTTTACTGTATAGTGTCAATTTGATAGTAAGTGGTTCACTCCAGTTTGAAATGAAATAAAATCTGCTACCATTGTCTTTAGTGATACATTGCATTGTCCTTAATAATACACTGTATATCCTAAGTGTTTAGCAATTGAAGTTATCAATTTCCATTGATAATATTACCAAATTCAGTATTTGAAATGTTTTGTACCTTGGGACTTTCTCCTTCCATGATTCATAACCGTGAACTATAATCATTGATCGTTTATGCTTAGCAGTCTGGAACCAGAACGGCCCGTTCTGAAACTAGAAAGGCCTGTTCTGGTTGCACTTTTAGTGTGTAAATTTTGCACCTGGAACGGGCCGCTCCGGATGCAAAATTAACACACCAAAAGTGTAACTAGAACGGTCCGTTCTGGTTTCAGAATGACCTGTTCTGGTTTCAGAACGGGCCGTTCTGGTTCCAGGTATTTTAAAAAAAATTGGCATCTACGTGGCATTCACGTGACATCCACCTATGCATCTACGTGGCATCCACGTGACCACATAATTAATTCCGTTTAAATAATTTGGACGGAAGTCCCAAATTGAAACTAATTAATTTATTAGGGATTAAATTGAGACCAATTAATCCATTAGGGACCAAATTGAGACCAAAAATAAAAGTGGGACTAAATTGAAACAAAGAATTATTATAAGGGACCAAAATAGGATTTTAGCCCTTTTTTTTCCAATAATATATATTTATTCAATTTTTTTATTTTGATTTATATGTTTTTATATAATATGTCAATGTTATATATAATATTATTTTTTTATTTTTTTAATATATTAATAAGAAATATAATATAATATTTTTTATATGGTTTTGTTGGAAGAAATTTTAGAGAAAAGAGAGTTGAGAGCATTTAAGAAAAGAAAATTATTGCATAACTTCTTTTTTTTATATTATTAATAAGATTTTATATATGTTAACCTATTGATTAAAAATATCCTTCAATAGCTTGTTATTTAACACAATATCTTGAAAAAATAATAACAATTCTTGTTCAAATAGTACAAATATTAATTAATATATATTTTATTGATCTATTTATAGTTATTCATAGATTTTTTTAGTGTATTTAAATAATCAAAATTATATATATATATATATATATATATATATATATATATATAAAGAAGGAGTGAATTGGTATTGGTATAAATTTTACAAGTGTAAGTGTGTCGGGTCGGGTCGGATTTGGATGGATCCATTACCTGACTCAATCAAAATTTAACGAATTAGGTTGAGTTGGGTTTATGTAAAAAAAAAAAAAATTAAATTCAACCCAATCTAACCTGATAATCGAGTTAGGTTAATCAAGTCAATATAAATTATTTATTTATTGTAAAAATTTAAATATTTTAAAATAGATATAAATTATTTGATACATTATTACAAATACAATATTATCAACCTATATAGCAAACAATGATACAAACTAAATTCTAAAATAAATTTATTAATTTTTTACATTATTATCAACTCAAAAAAATAATATTAATTAATATAAAATAAAATTTAAAATAAATATATTATATTGTTACAATGTAATCAACCTAAAACACAAACCTCATTATTAAGTAAGAGTGATAGTGAGTATCGTCTTAAACAATTGATCATTCAAACATAATAATAATAATAATTATTATTATTATTATAAATATTTATTATTATTATTATTATTATTATTATTCTATATGACCGAATTGGGTCGGATAATGGGTTGAAAACAGAATTCGTTACTCGATCGGTACAATGCTTGATTTTGATCAGATTGGATTGAGTCTGACCTGAACATAGGAAAAATCTTATCTAAACTTATTGAATTGATTTGGATCGATTCAGATTCGTATATTACTTATATATCTGCATACATCCTCAATAAATTTTGTGACTTTAAAACAATCACACGAATTGTTTGACATGAGATAAAAAAAAGGTGTAAATGTATGCGATAGTGAAAGTGTGACAAAATGTGGGCAACATTGTCTAAAAAAAATCACAAAAACATAAAGACGTGGTGTACAAAAATTGTTACATAATCAATTATTTATATATATTCACATATTTCAATTTTAATAAACTTATTTCACTCAAATAAATTAAAATTAATATTTTTTTTTCTATTTCACAAACACAACATTTATTTTCAAATAAAATGTTAGATAGTCTTTAATTATTAAATTTGTAATTAGTCTTTATATTACATGTAATTAAGTGTTATTATTTTATTTTAAAAATTAATTTTTTAAATATATATATATATCATATAATAATTAGATAACACTATAAATATTTGATAGTTAATCTATTTAATAATTTCTACTACTTTTTTATTCTATTTTTCATCTTTTCATTTCTTTTTTAAATCTCCTCACTCTATTTCCTTGTGGTTTTGTATTGTTGGGCTTCGCAGCAAAACCTTATTGAGATTGAACACAGTCAACCCTTCTCCTTTTCATAGACGGCACTTATAAACCTTGAAGCTGGATTTCGCAGCTGAGATGGTGCTTGTACAACTTGTTAGGATATTATTGCTTCATTTTTGTCTCTCTCAATTCTTAGAAAGCTCAATCTAAAAAGACTTCTAAAACGTAGTATACTTACATTTGACTATTAATGAGGCCTTATGCTACCACAAGCCTCTTGATGAGAGAGAGATCTATATTTGGCTCAACTACCATTGTCAAAACATCCTCTCCGAAGTCAACTCCGCAACATAGTTTCTTTCTTCTTAACTGCTTAGAAAAAGTATAAACATGTTATATATATAAGAAAAGCTTATCTAACAACCAAAAGTTTACCTCAGCAACTAGGACTCCGAACTGGTTATATATTTTGCAAGCAGACTTGTTCGTGTTGCTTTCTATTTATTGAGTGTGTTATTGATTCTTGTCCAGTCCAAGATTAACACTGTAAGTTGTAACCCGTTTAATTGGAGTTCTTGTAGGTTCTATAAACTCTAGTCATTCCTTGTGGCAGCGGATCTGTAACCCTCCCAATATACGTATACCTGGACAAACTATATATATTAAGTTAGATTTTATAGATTAAAAAGGTATTTGACAAATTAGAGAAAATTTTGGTTCCTTTATTTTTAGTTTCATTAAAACAATATTATTTGATTTTGCCGAATTAAAAATTTTAATTTGTTGTCAATGTAAAATAGTTTTACACCAAAATAGTGTATGACAATTTTTTATTCTTATTTAAAATTCATTAAAATTTTAAAAACGATAAAAAAACGATAAAGTTGAATTATGTGTATTAAAAATTATAACAACTCTTTACAAGCACAATTAGTAAAGGAATAGATTAAAAGAGAAAAGTAAAACGAAAGAATACAAAATTTTATACCGATTATTTTTACCACTAAAACAATGTCATGTCCTGATCAAGTCATCAATAAAGTTCACAAAGATATAAAAGTATACTTTCACAAAAGTTTTATACCCATAATCCATTTCATTTCTTTCATACTTTGATGTGGCTGATTTTCTTTCTGTTTTGGGATTTTGGGGTGTTTATTTGAGGGACTGAAGATTAGTGACCACATCCACAGCAACAAAGTGAACTGTAACTTATTGAAGATCATTTTTAAAATCCAGCAAGTTAGAATCCTTTTTTAGTTGCAGGAGCTTTTCTCATATATGTATTTGCCCTCGATTCCCTTCTTCTGCTTTTTGAATTTGTCTTTATTATTAAATAATGAATTAGTAATGATGCAACTGCATGTCTCCAGTATCATAATATTTGTTCTTTCAGAATACAAAGACATACAGACAAATTTAGTGCTTTGTGACAGGAATTCATCATCATCTTCCTTTAAATTTTCTACCTGATAAGATAGTCTATAATAGTAATATACAAGTAGTCGAAAAGGAAAGGCAATTAAGAAAAGCATTGTCATTATGAACCCGTACAAATTATAACCCGCAAGAGGCATGAGCATTAGGAAAACAAAACCCTCTGCACATGTCATATGTGAATTCCAATTCACATAGTATATGTTGTGATATTCATGCCTTAATTTCTGATACACTGTATATGTTGCTTTGAGCGTGAAAAGATCAGAATAAGGTAATTAGCAGAAGGAGTTAAAGCCATTACAGTTTAAGTCCTTTTGCAAACTTCCTTCAACAGCATCATTCGAGTTCTCTCCTTTCACAATCTGAAGCCAACTTTGTCGAAGAAGAAGATTGGTGATCTGGGCATCTCTGAATCCAGCACAACCTCTGTTGTCAGATAAGTATTAAAAGTACAAATTTGGAGTAAAAAAACCTTTTTTCTTTTTTTGTTTATGATGTTAAATACAATACAAGATTGGGTACCTTGGATGTTTTGTAGGCTCTGGAATTCTCTGAAAACAAGGCCCTTCATCATACCCTTCACAAGTTATCTCTCCGTGCTCATCTTCGTAGCATACTATGCCCTGAGAGAGATCTTCGTAAACCTGTTTCAATAGAGGCCAAACAGACACTAATTAACAGAACTTAACTTACCAAAAGTATCTGTTACGAGTACCTTTCTTCGGCTTAAATAAGGGTAGGTAAACATCAAAGATAAAATAGAATCTAAATGACAGAAAAAGATGAACATATTGACCTTGTTCTTGATGGATGCTGTGATCCTCAGTACTGATGCCTTTTTCAGCGGGGCAAAGCTGCGTTTGGACATAAATTCTTTGTTTGGGTGCTTCAGAAATGATCCATATTTCTGAGTTGGGATTTGAATTGAGGAAATACAGCTAAGAGCCATAAATCTAATTCTACAACAAGAAGAACAAGAATAAAATTTGTGTGGAATAGGCTCTGCCTATATAGTAACGGAATGATCTCATCATTCAATTAAATAGCTTCTTATTAATGGTAAGCATCGCTTTTGTTTGCTTATATTATCTTCTAAATTCAATTATTGGTGGGTTGGTGTCTTATCATGAGGCATTAAAATATAAATAGTCATGTAGGGCCAAAGTCGCTTATCCCTTACTTTTATAGCCGGTGAACTCCAAGTCATAGTTCTGGTTCATGCTTGATAGTGCTTCTCTCTTATCATTTATTTGGTTGGTCCATTCACCATTTCACTATGGAATGAATCTGTTATTTGTTCATTCATGGCCATCTTTGATAGCAGTTCACAATTTCCATAGTGGTGTGAATCACAATAAAAATGATACAATATGTTAGAATAATGAAACTACAAAAGGATGCGGATCAAGTCCAACATGATTTTGAGAAGATTTATATTAGCTTAGATTTAAATTTATTTTTTTTAAAGAAATTCACTAATGCAAAGCACAGAGGCAGAGACTAGCGCAAGCAACCATAGAATGTTTGAGAAATATGGAACTAATCTATTATCATCATTATAAAATGTTTGAGAAAAGATAGTGCACAAAACCATGAGTTACCGAACTTGCAATGAGTATATGGAATATTACTTTCATGATTAGTAAAGAAGGTGATAAGCAGATGCAACTTTTTTTTTATATGATACTTGATAAGTGTGGTATTTTCTTTAATTTTGTGGTATAATTTAAAGTATTTATTTTAATTTTTTTATTTAAACTTTTTATTTAATCCAAAAAATTTCTTAATTGGTAAAAAGTTCATTTTAGTTTATAACTCATTTTTAAGAAATTTACAAACTTTTTTTGTGTTAATTTGTAGATAAGAAAGAAAATGATGGTAAACATTGAAAGAAGCAAGTGGAAAGTTTGGTGAAGTATCAAGAGAGAAAAAGAAATTTAACCAAGACTTGGAGCCAAGTGTAAAATCTCATGCTCAATAACAACCTTTTAGAGAATAATTCAATTTTTTACTTTAAGGGTGGAATTTCATGTTCAACAATACAGTTCTAGAGGTTAATTTTTGTTATTATCCATCTTACTCCCATGCTCGACACTAAAAGTGCTAACATGTTATTAGTAAGAAGAGACAAAAGGTTTATGACCTATCATTGAAAAATATTTATTAAAATGTGTGGGATTGCTAGAAGAGCTTTCATGATTTCAAGATCAAGTTTCTTCCTTTATTTTTCTTGTGCTCCATGTTTATACGTAGTTAAGTTTATCCTTGTTAAAATTTGATGTAACCATACACATTCTAAGTTATTAATCCCAACTATTATTCAATATTATTGCTCTCTTATTTTCTTGATGTTTGTTATGGTTTCATTATCTTTAACTTGATTTTGTGGATTTAAAGTCATTAAAAAATGCTTGTAAACCTTTGAAATGAAGTAAAGCAGTTAATGATGTTTATGTTTTGGAATAGAGTAAATGTTATTAGTTATTCAAAAACTCTTGTTCTTAAAATTGGATTATTGGTTAAGTTATGTAACGAATTAATAACCTAGTTAAAAAACTTAAACTTAAACTTGTAAGTAATTAAAGTTTAAGTATATTTGTAAGTTGAATGACAATTTTTGAACTTATAATTGAATTAACGCTTGTTCATAAACATGAGAAAATAGTTTGGTGTGGATAAATCTCAACATATTTCATTAGTGTTAAAATCATTTTTTAGCATTCCAAATATTTTCAAAAATATCAAAAAGATTTTTTATAACATTTATCAGTGTTTATGCACTTTTTTTATTTTCACAATCAATTAAAATTTTCATTCTCAATAGTTTAATTTAGTATAATTAGTGATTTGTTTCAATTATTGCATAAATCCTTTGAAGGATATACACATATTTATCATTAAAATATTTACATGAATTAATACACTTGTCAATATGTTAACAATATTATTGTCAAATATTTATCTTTCGTAATACTTGATTTTTTTTATTATTATTGTAAGATATAGATGAACATCTTTAATAGAATTTCTTTTTAATTATATTTTTTATTATTAAAAATACTCAAACTTAAACTCTTTCTTTAATGTTTCGAGTTAAATTTCACTTAGATAGTTAGATCAACGGGATTTAATTATTAGTATTTTTATTTTTATATCTTATTCTTTTTTAATAAGGTAGGAGTTCAAGAATTCAATTTGATCGATTTTAAAGGAAGATATATTTAATCTAATCATTTAATTTTTCATAATTTACCATTCGATCAATTTGATTTAAAATCCAAAGCAGTTTGGATTGACTCTATTTTCGATTTTAGTCTTAATTTTATATTTTTAACAAAGTATTAAATAAATGATAATTTATATAATTAACATAATAAAACATAATTTAAAGTATCAAAATTTTCATCTATAATTCATTATATAACTCATAGTAAAATAAATTTTCAGATATATTAATAAAAAAATTTAAATAACTTGGCAGTTATATTTGTATACATTTATTACTCAAATAGTTAGCAAAATTTTATATTCTGTCAAATATATTTTTAATAGGCAAGTAGAAGTTATATGATAATTTTACAAGTATATAACAAATAAAATGTAAAAATGAGTATCATCATAAATTTACAAATGAAACCAATACATATGTATAAGTTTGGTTTGGATTGGATTAATATGAAATCCAATCTAATAAAAAAATTAATTATTTCTGATTTAATTTTTTTAATCAAATTTGGTATTCCTATTTTTTATTTATTGAATTTATTAGTTAATGATTATCCCTACTTTCTATCACATCACATATATCATTTATCATACTTTGTTTTTCTTTCCCTCTTTAGGTGTTGAATGACATTTAGCATCCACCAATCTATTTTCATTAACAAATAAATAATTTATGAATAAATAATCTATTATATTATTCAATCGATCACAAATGGTCATTACAATAAGTTTGTTATTAACTTTTACATTAAATATTTAAAAAATATTATCTAACACAATTTAATTAGTATTAGCATAATTTTTTTTATATCAACCACTCATAAAAAAACAAACTATGAATTTGTTATATTCCGTGCAAATTATTTTGTACCAAATAGTTATTCTCAAAAAGTTAATTTTATATTTAATTGTATATTGTCCTCAAATACGCAAAATTTGAGAGTAGATACAATGTTTTATTATTTGTTAATAATGCAAACAAATTACTCTAACTAAAATTGACTTAGTTTTACAAATTTATTTAATTAATATTTAATGGAATTGCACGTCAAGATGTCACTATAAGATTACATGGATTTTTCAAGTAAGTTATGATGGTTTTAATAGAGTCATGTCTACTTAAAGATTTTCAAAAGTTTAGGTTGTGATATTCAACGATGATTTCACTATATATAATTAAGGAGTATGAACTTCTCGTCAAGCTAATTGAGTAATTGAATTTCTGATTCTGATATTTATATGAAGTCGAGAAAGAAATAATACTAAAGTGCAATACATTTGATTCTTTTTTGGGTTTAAAACTATGAATTTGCTTTTATTTTACACACTTGATGAGGCATAAATATCTAAATTCTGTGCTTAATAGATAGCCAATTCTTAAAATTGTATAGATTACACTTCTTTTGTGGGTGCAAAATCAAACTTGACTATTCTTATAGTATTTTTATTAGCTTCAATTAATATAACTGATAGTTTTTCTTAAAAAAAAGGAAAAGAAAACTTTAACATGTGCCCATACTTCACCATACTTGATATTTTGGACACTATGTATGGCCCACTTTATATATTTTTTAAAGTTATGTTCGTGCACATAAGAGTGAAAATGGACTAAATTAATTAAATTGAGTTTTACGAAGCCTAAATTCAACTCATTTTTTAAATTACAGAGATTTAGTGGTACAATGTAAATATGTTTTTTGAGAATTTAAGTTTAGTTTTTTATTATTGTTTATTGTGATTTTTTTATTGATGAAAAAACATGCTTTTTTAACACTAAAAAATAACATGGATCGGTTAAAAGTTAGTTAACAAGAATTAACTGAAAAGAATTCGGAAGTTATGTCAAACTAAAAAGGATCAACACTAACTTAAATATAAATGTAAAAATAGAGGATGAATGTGAGATGATAGATTAGAGAAGCAAGAAGAAAAAATTGTCGGTCATTTTGCTCATCAAAACGTTCTTAAATATCATTGGGTCGCACAACGGAGCCATCAACAAATCCAAATGTGTTCTTTGCTATTTGAGTCATTTGCATGGCATGACACTTGTATTGCAGTTCTACTTCATCAAAAACTGAGAAACAAAAAATCTATCCTGGGCTATTTGATAAATGCATAAAGTAAGGATTTCCGGAGGCAATTGCAAATGAGATTTTATAAAATTATTTATATAAAGGCTCATTCTCGTTTGTGTGAGTTTAATATCTTTGTATAATACTTTAATATATAAAGGCTCAATGTTTAAATTGTTTAAGTAATATGTTGTGTGAAACTTCTTCTTTTGAAATAATATGCATATATAAAAAAAATATTAATAATTTTTTATATTAATATTAGTAGGGAAAAGAAAAATATAAAACAGAAGAAAGAGAAGAAAGATAGAGAAGCATGAGAAAGAAATGAGAAATAGAGGAGACGAGAGAGATGTATAACAAATGAAGATAAAAGAGAAGTCACACAAAATGACAAAATTATTAAATCAGTGTAATATTTATGAATTTTATAGACAGTATATTTATAAAGATTGAATGCTAAACTTAAGTTATATCACTTAGAATCTTGCATATTTATATTTTCCTTTCTCTCTCTTCTTTTTTCTAAGTGTGAAATATAGAGAAACGTTAGAGAAATTAACTCTAACACATTTTCAAAACTCTTTAATTATTTAAAATGTATCGAAGGAAAATGTTATTTATTTTAGTTTTTAATGAAAAATTTATACCTATTGATTCTTTAATAAGTATCCTTATAACAGTGATTACAAAGATTTTTTATTAAAAATATTATAATTATATAATTTTTGACCTATTTAAATTATATAAATAGATAAAAATTTATATAAAAAAGACTAAAATGATACGATTATAATACTTAAATGATTAAAATTATTTAATTAAAAATTGAAAGACTAATTAAGGAAAAAAAACGCAATTAAATCTAAAAGATATTAAGAAAAAGTGAATGGGAGAATATCTATACATGATTTCCCCAACGTAATTTTTAACTAAACCGTGCATGCTAATAGTGTATGATAGTCGCCAATTGATAAAATGATTTCCTATACAGTTCGCAGGTCCCGAAGCCCCCTCTTCTTTTCATGTAGCAGCATTGTTTCGTCATCTTCCACACACTTGGAAAAGAGTAGAGACTGTGAAGGCTTCTTTCCCCATGTGAATGTGAATTGTGTTGGATGCTTCGAATCCAATCCATGCAGTCAACAGTTGTTCAGCATGCTGTTCTGTTCCTCTGACTCTAGTCTAGAGTCACTTTCTCATGTCCCACTGTTTTAAAACATACGCAGAATAGGCTTAGCCTTAGGCCTCACCACTTGAATAAGCTCAAGCTAAGCCAGGCCCCACTCTGATGCTCATGGATCTCCCCACTCACATTCCATGTCTTTTTGTTTTAATTCATCTGTTTGTTTTGCATTTTTTCTGTACTTGAGTTGAGGCCTGAGGGCAACAAACTATTAACATGAATTTGTATGGTAAAAGTAAATGCAAACAGAACTCCTTCCCTGATCCACTTTGCAACCTCTGATCCAATGTCAAGTGCTAGCAGAGAGGTTTCAGCGCACAGGAGACTAGAGGCTCCCTCAACCCCTGGCAGACCCGTTTTCAGCTTCAACAGTGTTGCAAATCTTTCAAGAAAGACCTTCCCTTCCAAATGGGACGATGCAGAGAAATGGCTCATCACCACCTCCTCCCCACCTCACACTCACACTGCAAACATAAAGAGGCACACTGACAACTTTCAGGTGTCTGCTGCATCTTTGGATTTGGACCACCATGACACACTCCATGCTTCTAATGGGATCTCATGCTCCACACACATTATGTTAAAAGGTGCTATCAACATTTTTACTCCTCAACTCAACTTTGCCCTTGTTGCCTTTGTTATTTTCAATCTACCTTACCATTCTCTCTCTATTCTCCTCTGTCTTTACGATCTTTCAAACTTCTGCTTACATAGAATATTATAAAAGAAGATTTCTTGTACAAAACTTGCTTTAGAATTGTTATAGTTAGAGAATTATATCTCTTTTCAAATGTTTTTTCTCTTTCAATTTAAATTTGAATTGTTCCAAATCCAAATATAGGTTAAAGGACTTTTTACCTTTAATTATTATCAGGCTCGTTGGGCTTTCTAGCTCCAAATAATTTACCAACATAGGAGCTTGTTTTAATGCTGCTTCTCCTGAACAATAAATTATGGGTTGGTTACGATTCAAAAAATTATGTGCTTCCTATATTCTGGTGTTCCAAGCTGTTAATCATGATGGTAAATTGCATTCTATACTTGCAACTTCCAAAGAAGCTGATACTAGTATATAGTGAATGAAACCCCCACCCTTTTGCAGCTGCATTTGCAATTGAATGATATGATTGAGTTCAATTCTTCAACTAAAACAACTAGTTGATCAATAATGAATTCCATTTGCAATGCAGAAAAGTTCACAGACAGCACAGAGCCCATTTTCCCAAATTTGCAATATTCAGAACCAACTAGAGAAGGATTTTTGTTTGGAGACCAAGCTAGGGAGGTAATGAAAGATGCTAGCAAAGAAGTGGTCCATAAGGATGTTGGGACGGAGATGACACCTCTTGGAAGTTGCACAACTTCAAGATGCCACACACCATTCAAGAGTTCATCCCCTGCTCGCCATAATACTCCTGCAAATAGGTCAGGACCATTGTCCTTCGCAAACCACAATAACACTACCTGCACCAATGACCTTATTAGGCTGGAGGAGTGCCATTTTGCTAAATTGCAACTAGGAACACAATATGATTCGGTCACACCACACTGGAGCACAAGAGAAGAGGAGGAAGAGGAAATATCAAAGAGCTTAAGACATAATGCTGATTCAGAATGCAAGGCTACTACGTGGGAAGAAGAGGAAAATACCAAGGGCTGTCTCAGGTAAATAAACCTTGTAGTTGATATTGCCGTTTCACCTGATGTGTATGCGAGAACTAAATTGTAATGTGTTGCAGGTATCAGAGAGAAGAAGCCAAAATTCAAGCTTGGGTAGATCTTCAAAGTGCTAAAGCCGAAGCACAATCAAAAAAACTTGAGGTACATCATTACTGATTTTTTTTTTCCCATGAATTATGTTTAGTTTACAATGACTTGTATTCAACCAGTCGTCAACAATGCCAGCGGAAACCATTAATAGTTTGCCATATAATACTATTCTCAACCCTTCACTAGGTATGATTGACCAAATCATTAAAGCTCAAGTCTCTTATTCTCTAAATTAAATTAGTTTCAGCGCAAGTTCTGACTGTAATTTTTCAAATCAGGAGACGAATTATGCTTAACGGTTTTTATCTTAATTAATCAAGCATAAAAACACGTTTTCCTATTTATCGGTCTTGTTCCTTGTTTTTTGCATCGAAAATAATAGGCAAGTACAAATTATTCTTACTGGATAGTTTTTATTTTTTATTTTGCATGCAACAAGTTCTTGACCTATTTGTAAGCCCATGTTAGTAACCCAAGATGGTTTCACTCAAATACTGTAGTGTGTAAATACAAGTTGGTGTAAGTTGCTGGTTTGAAGTTGAAGTTTTGACTAAAATCCAAAGTGCTTTGCTAGGCGTGCCGTTTGCCTTCCTCCTCGAGCCAGCCCCAGCTTAAGGACAAGAGCATTCTCATTATTATTTTCTTGACCACTCCACACTTCCTCAATCCAATGCATATCCAATAATATTCTTCCCTTTTAATAAATAGAACTATGATCCCATAAGTCATTCTGTTCCTAATATTATATTATGGAGCACATGTGATCATTTTGTTTAGATATTCGTGGGAAACTTTGAGTATAAAATGGATAGTGAATATTCTCGCACTTTTATTTGAAGGATTAGCACATGTATAAAATTTGTTTGGACAGATTAAAGGTTACAGTGGGATTGACTAGTATATCGTGCAGGAATATAGGAGGGAGGAAACAAACACAGTGTTATATTAATTTTTTGCCCCATTCAAAACAACAGAATTCTTTTATAGGATCATATTTCATCGCGCATTCTTTAACGATTTATGGGAGTGAGTTTGTGTGAACGAGAGTGACGGTTGTAAAAACATAATTATTCAACTCATGGCATAAATCATTTTAAGGAATGTTGAGTAGGAAATACCCAAGTTATCAGAAGTCAAAGCCAGACATAAAAAAGCTAAGGAACTAAGGAATGTTGTTGGAACAATTGTTTAGGTGAAAATAGAAAAGATGAGATCAAAGTTGGAAGAGAAGTTGATGAAGAGGATGGCTGTGGTTCACAGAAAAGCTGAGGAGTGGAGAGCAGCAGGCAGACAGAAGCACTTGGAGCAAATGGAGAAGAGCACTGAACAAGCACAAAAGATTGTGAAGCAGTATAACCCTCTAGTTTCATGCCACAATTCATGCGGTTGCCTCCCCTGCACTAATCATAATATATAAATATATAATAAATCCCTTGTCCTTGCATAGAGGTTGCTCTGGAAAATATTTGTGATCGTATCTTTTTTCAAAAGATTATCCTTGTCTTCATGGCTGTGATAACTCGATGAAATACGTGAACTACTTTTACAAAGTGTTTTGAACAATACAATGTGTTTGGGTTAGAAATGAAAAGTCAGAATAATGTTTCCCATTTTCGCTGTCTAAAAAGGGAGCCTCAACTTATAACACATGCAGCAGCTGAGAATCGGCGATTGCTGTGGATACGCTGAGAGGTCTGCTCCAAATCTCAGTCTCGGCCACTGCCTGGACTATTGAAAAAAATTCAAATCTCACGTCGACTAGAGATTAAACAATTGATTAGTATATAAGTGAAAAATAACCCTTACTTTACAAGCTAATTTTGTAAAGTTGAGTTAGGCTCAAATTCACTATTCTAAGAGGATATCACATCTATCTTAATCGAGACTTGGATTTTTCCCAGACTACGTAACGACTGCAATGTAACCACACAAATTCATTAAGTGCAACAACACTAGCAGAGCAGAAACCAACACAAAATATAGTGCAAACAAAACAAGGGACAGATTCCATCCTAATTATGATACGACCACGCAAGTTCGGGTTTAAATTTGTGAAATCAAATTGAGTAAACTATGACAAAAATACTTATATATTATAAAATTGTTGGGCCAGCTTAATCCATTAGGTCGGTTTAAATTGATCCGCTTTTTTTTTTTTATTACCTACTTTTATATAAATTTTATAAGTAAATGAACTATAGGATTTAAAAAAAAAAAAAAAGCGATAAATACTTGGTTCGGTTCAATGGGTGATGTTGGTTTCGAATAATGTTGAAAAATATTAATATTATTTGACACAACTCTTTTAATGTATTTTCTTTTACTTAAAATGTATATGAGTTTAATAAATAAATAATAAAAATCAGTAAATAAAAATTAAAACAAATATATAAAAAGAGTAAAATTTACATAAATTTAAAATTTTAGTTAATAATTAATATAGTTGACTGGATAAATAAGTGTAATAAAAAGTGCATTTTTAATTTTAAAAAAACAAAATGAAATATTATATGTCTATTTTTGTCTCATCTTCTTCAAAGTATGTAAATTTTAATTCTTTCGCATGCAATATTAAGGATTTTTTTCTTTTATTTCTTTTGAACCCTAGATATGCAACTATTTAAATAGTAGAAGGGACAACTTTGAGGCTCAAAGTGATCATACCCATCTCTGGTTCCTTCTCCTCGTCGTCTCTGTCATCTTCTGCTGTTTTAAATTCCTTTGACTGGAGTACTACATCCATTTTCTATGCATCTAGACTTTTCGTATTGATTACATTACAATTGCACTAAAACCTACTTCAGTTGGTTGAATTAATTAAGCGTGTCACAACACACAGCACCAATGCAACCGAAGGATCTTGTCAATCTTACCGTTAACTTGCTTGTGTTGTGAGAATTGGTAGTTTTTTAGAACAGTACACATGCAAGTTCTGATAGTTTTTCAAATGATCTTAAAACTCAAATCATTAAATCGTCATTTTGTGTAAAGTCGAGTGTTTTAAATCTACAAATGCATATAAAGCTAATGAAGTCATCTTTGATGAAACACTAACTACTTTCTATATATGTATGCTGCTGGTCCTCGATCGGAAGTTTTCTTGTTTGTTTTTTAGATCTTAATTTTGATTTCATTTTAGATTTAGGGACAATAATGGGTGTTTTAGAAAGAAAAAAGAGCAATTATGCAACTAATTAAAAAATCTATAATCAATATTATGTATACATGTATAATTAATCATAAATTTATTCTCTTAATTTTCCCAAACACTTATTAATCTCTTCTTGTATTACACGAGTCATGACATTGCATAGTACTATTACCTATATCTTCCTTTATGGCATCTAGTATGTGGTATACTTCCCCAATTAAAATTCTATTCAGTCTACTTATATATGCCGCCACACGTACGTATAACTTGTAATTTTAAGAGAGAAAAAGAAAAGGAGTTAGATATTATTAATTAAAAAATAAAAAGAAGTAATTGAGGAACTTACCAGCAGTGGCAGAGTTGAAGGTGGTGGTGCTATCGCAGGGATGATGGTTTTGGTTATTCCATCACCAAGAACATTGAGATCTTCGACGTGGTGAGAGAGAGGGTTCTTGGAGGAAGGGCTAGGGTAATCTCCGAGGTCCTCAAGGCTTCTTCGACGTGGCAGAATTAAATAATTGCGAGGCTACGGTTGTGGGTAGTGCTACTTAATATTTAGGCTAAAATCTTATTTTAGTCCCTTATAATTTTTTTTTGTTTCAATTTATTCTCTCATTAATTTTTAGTCTCAATTTGGTCCCAAACTAATTAATTGGTTTCAATTTAGTCCTAAATTAATTAATTGGTTTCAATGTGGGACTTTCCGTCCAAATTGCTTTAACGGTGTTAACTTTTGGCCACGTAGATGCATACGTGACATCCACGTGAGAATTTTTTTGAAAACACCTGGACCCAGAACGGCCCGTTCCGGTTTCAGAACGGGCCGTTCGGGTTTCAGAACGGCCCGTTCCGGTTTCAGAACGGGCCGTTCGGGTTTCAGAACGGCCCGTTCCGGTTTCAGAACGGGCCGTTCGGGTTTCAGAACGGCCCGTTCCGGTTTCAGAACGGGCCGTTCGGGTTTCAGAACGGCCCGTTCCGGTTTCAGAACGGGCCGTTCGGGTTTCAGAACGGCCCGTTCCGGTTTCAGAACGGGCCGTTCGGGTTTCAGAACGGCCCGTTCCGGTTTCAGAACGGGCCGTTCGGGTTTCAGAACGGCCCGTTCCGGTTTCAGAACGGGCCGTTCGGGTTTCAGAACGGCCCGTTCCGGTTTCAGAACGGGCCGTTCGGGTTTCAGAACGGCCCGTTCCGGTTTCAGAACGGGCCGTTCGGGTTTCAGAACGGCCCGTTCCGGTTTCAGAACGGGCCGTTCGGGTTTCAGAACGGCCCGTTCCGGTTTCAGAACGGGCCGTTCGGGTTTCAGAACGGCCCGTTCCGGTTTCAGAACGGGCCGTTCGGGTTTCAGAACGGCCCGTTCCGGTTTCAGAACGGGCCGTTCGGGTTTCAGAACGGCCCGTTCCGGTTTCAGAACGGGCCGTTCGGGTTTCAGAACGGCCCGTTCCGGTTTCAGAACGGGCCGTTCGGGTTTCAGAACGGCCCGTTCCGGTTTCAGAACGGGCCGTTCGGGTTTCAGAACGGCCCGTTCCGGTTTCAGAACGGGCCGTTCGGGTTTCAGAACGGCCCGTTCCGGTTTCAGAACGGGCCGTTCGGGTTTCAGAACGGCCCGTTCCGGTTTCAGAACGGGCCGTTCGGGTTTCAGAACGGCCCGTTCCGGTTTCAGAACGGGCCGTTCGGGTTTCAGAACGGCCCGTTCCGGTTTCAGAACGGGCCGTTCGGGTTTCAGAACGGCCCGTTCCGGTTTCAGAACGGGCCGTTCGGGTTTCAGAACGGCCCGTTCCGGTTTCAGAACGGGCCGTTCGGGTTTCAGAACGGCCCGTTCCGGTTTCAGAACGGGCCGTTCGGGTTTCAGAACGGCCCGTTCCGGTTTCAGAACGGGCCGTTCGGGTTTCAGAACGGCCCGTTCCGGTTTCAGAACGGGCCGTTCGGGTTTCAGAACGGCCCGTTCCGGTTTCAGAACGGGCCGTTCGGGTTTCAGAACGGCCCGTTCCGGTTTCAGAACGGGCCGTTCGGGTTTCAGAACGGCCCGTTCCGGTTTCAGAACGGGCCGTTCGGGTTTCAGAACGGCCCGTTCCGGTTTCAGAACGGGCCGTTCGGGTTTCAGAACGGCCCGTTCCGGTTTCAGAACGGGCCGTTCGGGTTTCAGAACGGCCCGTTCCGGTTTCAGAACGGGCCGTTCTGGGTCCAGGTGTTTTCAAAAAAATTCTCACGTGGATGTCACGTATGCATCTACGTGGCATCCACGTGGCCAAAAGTTAACTCCGTTTAAATAATTTGGACGGAAGTCCCACATTGAAACCAATTAATTAATTTAGGACTAAATTGAAACAAAAAAAGATTATAAGGGACCAAAATAGGGTTTTAGCCTAATATTTATTTGACAAGTAACTATAGATAGTAAATTAAATTCAGGACTTCAATTATAAATGTTTAATATAATTTTAGTATTAAATAGATGATTAAAGAAATTTAAAATTATTTAATATGAAATATGAAAATTTTATAAAATTATTTTCTAGGCAAATTTGCTACAATTTTTATTTAGTATTGGAAATTATATGATTAAATTAATAGTCATCGATTATATTTAAATCTTAATTTTTTATGTAAGAAACTCTAACTTGTTTAAGAAAAGTCCTAATTCTTCAATAATTTTTGTTAAACAACATGTATTAATGTCATGAACTTAAAAATTGACTAATAAGGATTACTCCTATACCTAGGAAATAAGTCTTATCGGCATTTTACTTGGATAGTAATTTTAAAA